AGCATTATAAAGTTCGAATAAATCCCATTCCCTTTCTGCTTATAGTATAACGTTTGGGTTTGGTTTCTTCCTTAGGACAGAAGAGGTCAGTGCAAATTACATAAGGGACAGGGGAGAGGAGAGGACATTGGTTGTAAGAAATTGTCTTCTAGCTTCTCACTTTAAAAATGGTCTCAGGGTGCCTGGGTGGCTCCGTCGGTTGGGCGTCCAACTTTAGCTCAGGTCACGATCTCACAGTTCGTGGGTTCGAGCCCTGCATTGGGCTCTGTGCTGACAGCTCAGAGCCTGGAGCCTGCTTTGGATTCTGTGCCTCCCTCGTGCTCTGCCCCTCCCCCGCTCATGCTGTCTGTCTGTCTCTCTCCTTCTCTCTCAAAAATAAATAAGCATTTAAAACATTTTTAATGTCTCACACTGTTTATTTTTGTTCTCTCTCCCTATTTAATAAATATATGTTCTAAAAATGTGACCTATGCATGGCATACAGCTGGCCACAGTGGAAGGGTGGCCGGAAGAAAGGCTATAAATAAGCTGGCTATAATAAGAGAAGAATTAAAAAAAAAAGCCTGGACCACAGCTCTTCCTACTGTACCTCTCAGAACAGAAAAGACAAACTGCTCACAGCATGGCACCCAGCCAATCTCTAACTAGAATCAATTGCTTTGCCAACAAGGAACACAAAAGATGTTCATTGTTTGCAAACGGAGTTTCCTGCTAAGGCACCTTTTCTCCAGGCTAGCAACACGGGACAGCTAGACAATTCCTTCTGCTGCCTGTTTCGATTTCTCTTCTCCCTACCATGGGAAACCCTTCTGAAGAAGGCCGAATCTAAATCTAATCCCAGAGGATCAGGAGACTTTTCAGTGCACAGCGTGGTCTCTTCATTACAGCCGTGTGACCCCAGCGTGCAATGGTTCTGAAAGACAGTGGCCAATATTATAATTATCTACATGAAACAATTCACTGGGTAGCCTTTGTTCTTGAAGTTTTTTGTTTGTATACAGTCTTTTTTCTCTCCATGTGATGTGGCCAGGTTGGGGGAGGGGGTAGCTGGAACAGCCAGTTCTGGGAGGGGAGGATCGGGAGGGGGGAAAAGAGAAGGAAAAAGCTCTCCTTCACTCCAGCTTCTCTCCTGCTCTTCATTCTCTCCTTCACTAGCCACCAGGGGATTAAAATGAAAGTGAACTCAGAGCAATGGACTGTGACGTAGTCCTGTCTGTCTGTCTCTTTCCCTACCTCGCCCTTCCAAAAGTTCTCTCTCCACCTTGCTCACTATCCCACCTTGTCCTCACTTTCCGCCCTTGTCCTTTCCCTCCTTGCCCTTTATGGTTCCCCCTCTAGCCCTCCATCAGTGGTCTCACCCCTCCGGCAGGCCGGGTCTCAGGACCGCAGGCAGCCTGCCTTCTGGTTTTGCAGCACTGTTAGCTCCCACCAAATGGCAGATTGGTGTTTGTGCATCAGCCCGGGAAGCTCCCAAACATTTAGGACGTTGTTTCTGGGGTAAAGATCTATTCTGGGCACCATACCGTCCACCCAGCCTTTTAGGACACAGCCAGGTTACGATTGGTGATGTGCATCTCCATATTTAAAGGATCCACATACAGGGCGCCTGGGGGGCTCAGTCGGTTAAGCATCCGACTTTGGCTCAGGTCATGATCTTGCAGTTCATGAGTTCCAGCCCCCCCTCCCCCACCTCAGTCTCTGTGCTGACAGCTCAGAGCCTGGAGCCTGCTTCGGATTCTGTGTCTCCCTCTCTCTCCGCCCCTCCCCTGCTTGCACTCTGTTTCTCTCTCTCTCTCTCAAAAAAAAATAAGTAAACATTAAAAAAATTTTTAAATAGTTAAAAAAATAATAAAGGACCCACATACAAAAACTAGATTTTTGGTGTGGAAATTGCAAAGATGCATGTAAATCATTGGGAAAATGATGTGAAAAGTCCAAAGATTGATTTTGAACCAATGCTCATTTTATTTTTTGTGACTAAAATTGAGATGTGTTAAGTGGGTTATATTTCCCCATAAAGGGTTTTCGTTTAGATGTCAGATAGGAGTTTAGGACACTAACATAGTCATTGGGTAGGTTTGAAATGATTTTTCCTATTAGTATTTTGCATATTTTGATATGAGCCATAATTATTATCTGTAGAAACCTGGAATGGATTTATAAGTTTCCAGAAGGAATTCTGAAACAATAAAAGTTCTTTTATATGGAGGAAAGGGATTGTAGGAGAGTAAATACTGATTACATTGGCAAGGAAAAGAACATTCATATTATGCTAACATTAAATCTATTTATACAGGACATCAGTCACTAGAATGCATCTTTGGAAAGACACTGTAATTTGGCATGTGAGAATTTACTAACCTCAAATTAATCCAAAGTATAACTAGTCCCAAAGTTTAAATAATTAATATGCTTTTCAAAGCATTATACAGTGATGTTTACAGTAAAACTTGCAAGCACTTTAAGGTCTTTATTATATCGGGGCACCTGAGTAGCTCAGTCAGTTAAGCGTCTGACTTCAGCTCACGGCATGATCTCGCAGTTCATGGGTTCGAGCCCTGGGTCGGGCTCTGTGCTGACGGCTCAGAGCCTGGAGCCAGCTTGGATTCTGTGTCTCCCCTTCTCTCCACCCCTCCCCTGCTTGCGCCGCTGTCTCTTTGTCTCTCTCAAAAATAAACGTTAGAACAGTTTTTTAATAAAAAAAATCTTTATTATATTACATTTAACAGTGTTTAGTATTGAATGTATTTAATTAAACCGGAATTCTCTGAGGTTGCAAGATGTCAACAGATGGTCACGAAATTTCTGCCCATGAATAGAAAAACTAAGAAAATGTGCCTAGGTGCCATTTTTGTTTCTTTCTCTGTTTGCTAATGGGCCCACAGAAGTCCTTGTTATGCATTTCTTCAACTTCACTGTCCCACAGGCAACTCAAACTCGCTGTCACTGGAATAGAGCAACACCTCCCAATCTTCACACCTGTTGCGGATGAGGGAGACCAACGTTCTCCCGTCTCTGCACTTGACCCAGGCACCAGGAAGCAGCTCTTCATACGCTTGCTTACTCTCACCTCCGATCACGTTTGTCTCCTCCTCCTAATTCCCTCACACTCTCTTCCTCATTTTTATCCTTTACTCTACTTAGCTTCTCTGCTCTTTCTCCTGAGCCGTGAGCCTCTCCACCTGTCGCAAGCACAGCTGTTAGAGTGACTTTTCTACGGGAATCTCATCACTCTATTCCCTGCTTAAAATTCTTCATCACTGAGTCCTCTTTACCTTTGGCTAAAAGCCAAACTACTTAACGCGACTTATAAGACTCTTCAGCGACTCCGCAAAACCCCCCGATTCAGCAGTTCTAAATCTATAGTTGTGTGCCTGGTAGGATGGCCACTAGTCCTAGATGGCTGCTCGAATTTTTTTTTTTAATGAGTTTAAATGGAATAAAATTTAAAATTCCATCCCTCACACTTGCCACATTTCAAGGGATTAATCGTCATGTGTGGCCGGTGGCCCCGCATTGGTGAGAGGGGGAGCGGGTACCTTAGCATCGATGAGGACGGTCCCTTTGGGTGGCACTGGCTGGAGGTCCATCACACGGCCAGCCTGTGCCCAATCTGCTTGCGAGTTTCCCAACCACGCACACTCCCCTCTCTTCCACGTTGTTGCCCAGCCTCTCCCCTCCATCCAGTGTCCCAGTGACCCTTCTCTCAGCCACATCCTACTCACCTTGTCCCAAACCCATCCCAACCTGGGGCGGGTGTTCTTTCTGTGGATTTTGTAGCCCTGTGGACCTCTCTTGCAGAAGACTCACTGTGGTTGTGTTTTCTTGCCTGTTCCCACTAGAGTGTGAACTCCCTGCTATCAATATCAGTCTTTGGGGTGCCTGAGTGGCTCAGTCAGTTAAGCAGACTTCTGCTCAGGTCATGATCTCACGGTTCAAGAGTTCGAGTTTTGCATCGGGCTTTCTTTTCAATGAGGAGTCTGCTTCAGATCCTCTGCCCCCTCTCTCTGCCCCTCCCCTGCTCATGTGCTCTCTCTCTCTCTCTCTCTCTCTCTTTCTCCCCAAAATAAATAAACATTTCTTCAAAAAAAAAAAGAAGAAAAGAAAAACTGAATGTGGTTTCTCTTTAAAACAAAACGAAACACCCAAATCTGTCTTTTTAACCTCCAGTTCTCTGCCTGACTCCTAGAAGGCACTTGAAACCATATCTAAGGATAAATCAAACATTAAGTATCAACTCAAAGCGTTTCCTTTGGGGTCATGCTCCTAGTAAACATTTACAGTTAGAGGCAGCTGAATTACAAATGGCAACTTTATCTTTCCTTGTTCTTGCGACCAATTTATCCTGAAGTACTTATTTATCTTCCTCTGTGTCTTTAAGCCCAATTTAAAATTGAAAGATCACATTTTTGAGAAGTAAATGACATAAAGTTCTAAGTTGTAGTAATGCATACTTAATGTTTTAATAGACTTCTTTATGTTGGACAAATCAAGTATAAGACATATAACACAGTCATTTCAACAATTCTAATTCTATAAATCTCCACATGATGTGTTGTCAATGTCCTCTACTTAAAATAGGAGAACTTTAAATTAGAAACATTTTATCACTCTGAGCAGTTGAGTTGCTAATATTTCTAAGCCCAGTATGTAGACCGCGGAATCACTGTCATTTATTAAATAAGTCGACTGTGTAAGGAGGCAACAATGAAAATCAGTTTGATCTCTTTTTCTACCTTCAGCATATTTTTAAATTTATGATTCACAATTAGTGACAACACAAAGCATCGCTTCAGTGGTTAGATTTTTATCTTTCAACTTACTGGAAGAACTAACTTGTGAGTCACCTCACCTGTTACTCAAGAAACTGGCTGCTCTCAGTTGTCACTTACTCATGACAGTTTTATGCAGTATTCAGAGCTTTAGAGCTAGAGAAAAATTCAGGCTGATCCTGCCTGTGTCTACTTAACTCCTACTCTCTCATGTTTTCTTCTCCACAGAGTTGTCTTTCCCTGCAACAGGCCAGTGCTAACATAACCGGAGAATGAAACTTTGAAGATCCTTGCAATTTCATTTTTTGTGTATTGAGGAGACGGGAGATACGTGTGTGATTGCGGAGGTCACGGCACAGCACGTGGGTATGGACATAATTGGGGGGATGGGGGACAAAGAACTCAGCTCCAAATTGAAGATCTTTGTTTGAAGTAACACCGGAAGGCAAACCAGGAGAGCATATTGGAGTGTATTCTTCTGATTAGAAAGACCTAGCCCAATATTGAGAAAATCACAGGCTGCCCTACTCCTACGTAGAAGATATCTAGTGTTTTCCTGAATGATACCATCTATAGAAACCTTAATATTCACGTGACAACTTGCAAAGAGATAGATTTCTAATTCTGTTTTTTGTTTGTTTGTTTGTTCTTTCTACTGCAAAGAAGACACAAGAGCGAAAGACCACAAGAGCCTCACGATTACTGTGTGGCTCAGTCATACCAGGGTTAACTCATCAGCTCTGAAGTCTTGGTGGCTCAGCCAATGCTTTTCCCTCTCCTGCTGTATTCCAATATAGTTGTGTGTGTGGAGAGAGGTGGTATGAGAATTTTTACCCCTGGAAATAACCAACATGGCCGCTACCATATGGAAAAAACACAGACGAGGAACTCACACCTCTTCTGTGCTTTGACCTAAAAGTGACCCATGCCAGTTCTGCTCACAACCCACTGCCCACAGCCAGTCACATGCCCTGCTGTATTCAAAGAGGGCTGGGACATGAACATTTGACAAACACTACAATTCTGTCCTAATCAACCAGAGAAAGAGTCCAACCCAAGACTCTTCAATTCCCACTCATGTCAGTTAAAATAATTTGGAAATAAATATTAAACGGAGACAACTCTATTTTTAAATTAAATGCAAGATGAATTAACTTTTGGTCACCCAGTCTCCCTCCTTTTAAGTACTGGTTTACTCTGACTAGCTTTTGATTCTATATATCAGTTCAGGTGAGTGTCAGTTTGAGTGGAAAGTATTACTATTCTCTATACAAGAAAATTCAACTATTGGAGCCATAGTTCACCCAAGAGTCACAATGGAAAATGGTATCAATTTGAATGAATATGAATGAATTCTTCCATAGATCAGTTGCCAAAGTAAATTGGAGTTTGGTTCTGTAATAGGGCAGTTGTCTCTCAAATGGATGCACGCATATTTAATATACAGATTGATATTTACTCATTCATTAGATCTGCACATCAGTGTCTCTCATCATATATGATTTGAGAAGAAATCCTAGAAAAAGAGCGGGACCTCCATATCAGGGAGAGGTTGAGGATGATGACATTGTTTATTTATTTGCATCCTTTTACGTCTTCTAAATGAGAACACGTTCAAGTTTATATGGATTTGAACAAATTTGTTTTTTCTTAGACTTTCTATTTTCTGCTCACATCATCCATGTTTTCTTGCATGTTGTCTACCTTTTCCATTAGAGCCTCTAACATAGTGTACTATTTTTAAATTCTCTGACAGTTCCAAACACTAGGTTATAGCTTAGTCTGGTTCTGATGATTATTTTGTCTCTTGAGCCTGTGTTGTATTTTTTTTTTCATTGCCTTTTAGTATGCCTGGAATTGTTTTTTAAAAAGTAGAAATAGGGGCATCTGGGTGGCTCAGTTGGTTAAGCATCTGACTCGGGCTCAGGTCGCAATCTCACGGTTCATGGGTTCGAGCCCCGCATCAGGCTCCGTGCTGACAGCTCAGAGCCTGGAGCCTGCTTAGCATTCCGTGTCTCTGTCTCCCTCATGAGCCCCGCTCATGCTCTGTGTCCCTCTCTTTCTCTCAAAAAGTTAATAAACACTTAAAAAAATAAAACAAATAAAAAAAAAGGTAGACATATATTGAATGGAGAGAACTGGGGTCATTAGTGTAAAGATTTACGGTAATGGCTAGAGTCATGCTATGTTTACTGTCTGCTGTAGATGTAGACAGTAACAGCCTTAAATTCCCACCACTGCCTACGTACTCTTCCTTGCTGCTCTTTCAGCTCTAAACTGCCGTTACCATACTTGAGTCCTGTGGGTATAGGGATAAGGTAGGAAAGGGAAAGTGTCTTATCATCCTATGATTAAACTTCAGGCTTGTAGCGGCCCGAGTCCCTGGGCTTTGACCTGTGCAAGTAATTTCTAGCTTTCGTTCTCCTCTTACATGAGGCGAGAAGACTGGAGAAGGCTATACCGGAAGAAATGCCCTTCTCCGGACGGGATAAGACCCTTCTAAAGTGTTATCCTCCCTTGGAGAGTAGGCCTTTGTGACAGAGAACACTCTGGGTGTATTCCATGAGTGGATCTTTCCCGGCTCTCCATCTTGAGGAATGGTTGGACTTCCCAGATGTAGAAAGTGAGGGCCCCCCCCGAGACTGCAGCCACCAGAAGTGGCTCACCCTCCAGGTCATCTATGTTTAGCCTCCACTTAAGTGTTTCTCCTAGTGGCTCCTGTGGCCTCTGCTCTGGACACCAGACCTCAGCTGTGAGATTTCAGGGTCATGGTTTGCCTCATGACATCAGTTCTCTCCCAGATACAAGAAAAGTCATTGATTTTTTTTAGTTCGTTAAATTTTATCTTGTTGAAAGGATGACAGTGTTGCCTTGCAAGTGACAGAACTGGAAGACGGAGCCCGTTGTCTCATAATACGAGATAGCAGTATTTTAATATCTTCTGCTTAGTTTGTAAGAATGATTAGCTCAGGTCAGATGAGAGGAAAATTTTTGAACAGAATTTTAGTAGAAATTTTGCAGGGCACCTGAGTGGCTCAGTCAGTTAAGCGTCTGACTTTGGCTTGGGTCATGGGTCATGATCCCCCAGTTCATGGGTTTGAGTCCCGTGTCGGGACCTGTGCTGACAGCTCAGAGCCTGGAGCCTGCTTCGGATTCTGTCTCTCTCTCTCTCTCTCTCTGCCTCTCTCTCTCTCTCTCTCTGTGTCTCAAAAATAAATAAACATTGAAAAATTAAAAAAATAGAAAACTTTGCATAATTAGAGGTTGGACTTGAAAATGATCTCCACAATTTATTTAAAAAAAAATTTTTTTTTCAACGTTTATTTATTTTTGGGACAGAGAGAGACAGAGCATGAACGGGGGAGGGGCAGAGAGAGAGGGAGACACAGAATCAGAAACAGGCTCCAGGCTCTGAGCCATCAGCCCAGAGCCTGACGCGGGGCTCGAACTCCCGGACCGCGAGATCGTGACCTGGCTGAAGTCGGACGCCTAACCGACTGCGCCACCCAGGCGCCCCATGATCTCCACAATTTAATCAGTACGACCAACAACACACTTCTATTTTATTTACATATTAATGTTGAGTGACTTTACATTTTTATCTGGCCATAATACCAAGTGCCTAAATAAAATTAGCTTAAAACCAGAAATTCAGATGGCTAAAATACAAGAATAAATCAGAATTTTGAAAAAACATTAAACCATATTGAGCTATAGTTTTCTCAAAGTATAATTAATACTGTTTTTTTGTGTTAGCACAAATTTTTATTTCATTGGTAAGAATATGTAACTTAAACAATTCTTGGTCATTTTATCTTTATCTCATCCTTAAAATTCCCATTTTGAAAGGAGGTTTTCTTTTTTTTTATTTTTTTTTTTTAACATTTATTCATTTTTTGAGAGATAGAGTGTGAGCAGGGGAGGGGCAGAGAGAGAGGGAGACAGAATTCGAAGCAGGCTCCAGACTCCGAGCTGTCAGCACAGAGCCTGACACGGGGCTCAAACTCACAAACTGTGAGATCACGACCTGAGCTGAAGTTGGACGCTTAACCGACTGAGCCACCCAGGCGCCCTGGGAGTAGGTTTTCTAATATATTCCACATATTAACAGTGTCATGTATGTACAACTTATAAATAAGCATATGCATATGAAAATGAATATTTAGATTCTTGCCAATGGAATCCAAGGTTATAAGAGTTTGCCAATTGCTTCTTTGAGTAACCTTGGCCAAGTCATGTAACTTCATTGAGACTTTGTTTCTGATGTGCAAAATGGAAACAAAGATTTCTGCTTGTATGGTTGTTGGAAGGGTCAAGTAAAGAGAATGTATATGAAAAAGGCTTTCCAACCTGTGAAATGCTAAGCAAGTGTAGCTATCTAACTTCACTGTTTCTGGGTTTCCGTTCTGTCAGTCCACATTGCTGTAAAATGAATGAAGGGTTTTATATTCAGCTAAATAATTCACAACCTGGGAGTGGATTAAAAACAACAACAAATGTATCTTTAAAGTAGCACTGTGGAAACACTCTGAGTATATGAAAAATACACACTTCCACTCCGAGTATAGCTGTGCCACACAGTATCTGACTCCCGTACTCCTTTTAGCATAAAAAATAAAATAATAAAATAAAATAAAATAAAATAAAATAAAAAGCAGAATTTCAGGAAGGTAGAAGACCGCAAACTTAGGCCCCTGATGGGTTGGTCAGGGCCAAAGAAACATGACTGCTAACTCACCTGTTGTCAGATAACTCTCTCCTACTTCTGCATCAAACCAGTGGCCAGCTTGGGAAACTCACTCAACTGTCCTTAACTGGAATTTCCTTCTCTACAAAAGGAGTCTCTTGCCCGGACCTTCAGGTTCTCATAAGAAGAGAAGAGTACGGCTGGAAAACAGTGAAGCCCACTGGCATGGGCTCATCGTTGGGATTTTCCGTGGCCTTCCACTGAAGACATACACTTTGTGGATTATTTCTATCAAAAAACAATTTTTGTTTGTGTGACTAGAGCTGGCCCTACAAGAGCCAAAAATCTCTTGTCTCCACGGATGCCTTGATGTAACGTCTTGGAGCAAAGTGGAAATCTCAGAGCACCCCTGTTCCTGTTCTTGGTGGGTCCCTGTTCTCTTGGGTCACTGCGAGCCAGGGTGTTCGGGCCATGCAAAGCTCAAAATGCAGTAAATCTTACTTTTAGCGGACAGAAACAAGGTGGTTGAGATTGGAAGGGAATTAATTACGTTTATTTATTAACATTTTTATTAGCTGTATACCATACTAACACAAATAAAATCAATGCGATCTTCTAACCAGACGACTGGTTAATGCATGGACAAGAAACCACATAAGACTTTTAAGAAAGATTAAGAAAAGAATACACTTGGCGTGTACTGGCAAGAAAGCGATGCTTAAAACAAAAATGATGGACTTTGGGGAAGGAGGAGAAATGGAGGCTGAACTGTGAAAATTTCACTCATCTGTCCCTCACACAAATGTTCTTATCTCTCTGGAGATGAA